GCTTTTAAGATAGTGGGTTTTTGTTTTAAATGTAGGATGTGGTGACTGTGAAGTAGAAATGCTTGCAGGGAGAGGAGATAATCTTGGAAAAGGCTGTTAATGCAACATTGGAACACGTGCAAAAAATAAAGCATTTTTTTCACTTTTTGAAAATTTTAGAACTGTTTTTAATAGGTGTTCTTTAAAACTGCTAAATGTCAGTTACTTAGTATGACAGCTGGCTGTATGTCTCTTAATTAGTACTCTCTTGAACATGGAAATGTTATAAGCCTCAGATGTTCTGTTATGCCCTTTGGAGGCATGGAGATAGAGAAACTGGTCATTGCTGTGGTCTAGAGTAGTGCACATCTTGTCTCATGTTTATAGAGCCTTGTTGTGGAGTATTTGGCTTTAAACTGAGCTGTTAATAAATATATACGTAATTATTTTTTAGTAACCTTAAAGGGAAATATGAAAACCATAATGTCTTTTGAAGATTAGGTAACTACCAACAAATAATAGTATTTGGATTTTAGATTTGCAAACAAGAACTGCGTAGCTGTCTTCTTTGAAGAATATCTTTACTATCTGAAAGTAAAATTCCTGAATTGCCAAGTGAACTATTTTACAAATGGCAGTGCTAGAAAATGGATCAGAACCTGTGTTTATCCAGGTTTGGACAGTGTGTTATTTGTGGAACTAACACTGGACTAAGTTCCTGATTTATGCCTGTTTGCCGTGGACCATATGGCGATCCAGTGCCTTATGAACTAGAGACTTAAGATTGTATATACATGCACACACATATATGTACCCTTCTTTTTTTTCCAGGGTACCCTTTGAATCCTAAATCTAGATCGCAGAGAATGCTGGTCATTAAAAAGGGCAGTACAAAAGAACTGCAGATATCTGGATTCCCAGTAGTAGGAAGTCTTCATTCACATCCAGTAAGGAATGGACCTGGTACAAGTGCTTATAAAGGATTAGTCCCTAAACTTGTCACTCCACCCACAAAGGTGAGTCTTGGATACCAGTGGTGTGAACAGAATGCTGAAAAAAATCATGCTGTAGTTCTAAATGTGCTAATTTCTCCCTTGAGAGTACTGTTCCTAGAGTATTATGCTTTCAACTCTTGCTAAGTGCAGCACACCCCAAAAGTGAATGGAAACAACTTTTTCTCATTTTTCTTTTTAAGCTATACTGTAATTGGATCTCTCTTTGTTTCTTATTTATCTTTTCTGAGAAGTGTAAGAGCAAAAAGGATGTTTTTAACTTACGGTAAAACAGTGCCTTTTGTATATATTTTGTGAGCAGATGAATTGCTCTTAAACAGTCTCTTTTCCACAAGAAAACAGGTGTTTGCACTAAATTGTGGTTGTAGTTATCATTTGCTTTTGCTTAATCATTTTTCTGAAGATTCCTGAAAATAATTCTATTGTAGTTATTGACTCTTTAAATTTCTGTTTAAATTTTTATTTAGCCTACACAGTGGAAAAGCCAAGCAAAAGAAAATAAAGTTGGGAATCCATTTCCTCATGGATCTGCATATGGTGTTGGCAATTTCAGTCCTTTCAAATCAACTGCCAAGGTATCTTCTCTATTACAAAATGCAGTGAAAGACATAAAGCAGTATCTAGTTTTTTTATCAAATCTGTAAAACATTTAATTTGGCTAGATAAGGGGATCAGTAAGTTTTATGCAGAATTGCATTAAAAAAGTTTGGAAGTTAATGTGTGAGAAATATGGAAGGCACATCACTGGCCTTTAAGTACTGCACAATTTGCTTTGTAGGTTTGATTTGGGGTAAAAATGGTGCATTAGGAAGTATAACCTGGTAGGTTTAAACTTCAAAACTGCTAATGGTATGATGTACTTCAGAAGGTCGTTAGCAGTGCTCCATAAATCTGCATCTCTGGGTTTACATGTGAGAACTATATATATTGAAATAGAAATGTCTTCTCTCTGTTTTTGACCATGGATATATGTGAAACTTGAAATTACAGGTGCCAGGGAGTCTTTTTGTCTTTCATTCAAAGTTTTCTAAGTGAATAAACTTCTAATATTCTTTTTTTTTTCCCTCTGACTCCCTACATTAGTGTAATTGGTCAAATTCTTCATCTCCTGTTGACAAAGTTGGTCAGCCTCGTTTAACAAAATTGACAAGAATGCGGACTGATAAGAGTGAATTTTTGAAAGCATTGAAACAAGACAGAGTGGAAAAGGAACATGAAGACAAGAATCATGCTGGGCAAAAGAAGGTAGTTTTGTTCATACCTGTTGTAGATCCAGCAGTAGTAATTTTCAGACGGACCATAAACTGCTTCTTATTTTGCTGTAAACAGCTGTTAAGTCATGGTCTTGGATCTTTAAATGAAGGAAAGGAATTATATTTTGATGAATTTAAAAAAAGTTGTTCCAAGTACTACTCTTCCTCCAGTGCTTCTTACAAGTTTCTTTCTTTATGCAGTATCTGTTCATACATAACTCAAGTACATCTGTGTCTTTAGCAATAATAAAAAGAATAAACTAAGCTTAGTACAATAATGTAATCATAGAGTTGTTTAGGTTGGAAAAGACCCTTAAGGTCACTGACTCCAACTGTTAATCTAACACTGCCAAGTCTACCACTAAACCATGTCCTTAAGTGCCACATCTACATGTCTTTTAAATACCTTCAGGGATGGTGACTCAACCACTTCCCTGGGCAGCCTGTTCCAATGCCTGACAACCCCTTTCAGTGAAGAAATTTTTCCTAATATCCAATCTAAACCTCACCTGGCACAACTTGAAGCTGTTTCCTCTTGTCCTATCGCTTGTTACCTTGGAGAAGAGACTGACACCCACCTCACTACAACCCCCCTTCAGGTAGTTGTAGAGAGCGATAAGGTCTCCCCTCAGCCTCCTCTTCTCCAGACTAAACAGCCCCAGCTCCCTCAGCCGCTCCTCATAAGACTTGTGCTCCAGGCCCCTCACCAGCTTTGTTGCCCTTCTCTGGACATGCTCCAGCACCTCCATGTCTTTCCTGTAGTGAGGGGCCCAAAACTGAACACAGGACTCAAGGTGCGGCCTCACCAGTGCCCAGTACAGGGGAACAATCACCTCCCTGCTCCTGCTGGCCACACTATTTCTGATGCAGGCCAGGATGCCGTTGGCCTTCTTGGCCACCTGGGCACACTGCTGGCTCATATTCAGCCGGCTGTCAACCAGCACCCCCAGGTTCTTTTCTGCTGGGCAGCTTTCCATCCAGTCTTCCCCAAGCCTGTAGCGCTGCATGGGGCTGTTGTGACCCAAGTGCAGGACCCGGCACTTGGTCTTGCTGAGCCTCATACAGTTGACCTCAGCCCATCGATCCAGCCTGTCCAGATCCCTCTGTAGAGCCTTCCTACCCTTGAGTAGATCAACCCTCCCTCCCAACTTGGTGTCGTAAGCAAACTTACTGAGGGTGCACTCGATCCTCTCATCCAGATCACTGATAAAGATATTAAACAGAACTGGCCCCAGTACTGAGCCCTGGGGAACACCACTTGTGACTGATCACCAACTGGATTTAACTCCATTCACCACCACTCTTTGGGCTCAGCCATCCAGCCAGTCTTTCACCCAGCAAAGAGTACACTTGTCCAAGCCACGAGCAACCAGTTTCTCCAGGAGAATGCTGTGGGAAACAGTGTCAAAGTCTTTACTGATGTCCATGTAGACAACATTGAATGTGTTTCCCTCATCCAGTAAGTGGGCCATCTTGTCATAGGAGATCATGTCGGTCAAGCAGGCCCTGCCTTTCATAAACCCATGCTGACTTGGTCTGATCACCTGGTTGTCCTGTACATGCTGTGTGATGGCACTCAGGATGATCTGCTCCATAACCTTCCCCAGCACTGAGGTCAGGCTGACAGGCCTGTAGTTCCCCTGATCCTCCTTCAGGCCCTTCTTGTAGATGGGCATCATGTTTGCTAATCTCCAGGCCACTGGGACCTCCCTGGTTAGCCAGGACTGCTGGTAAATGATAGAAAGTGTCTTGGTGAGCCTCAGTGCCCTTGGGTGGATCCCATCTGGCCCCATAGACTTGTGGAGGATAGTGTTTCATACCTTGGCTATGAGTTATCCTACAAAACAATTAATGGAAAGACTTGGTTCTGCTTCTCAAACCATTTTGTTTCTAATTAGAATGAGATTGTCAGGAGTTCTTTATTCTTGGTCTAGTCATAAGACCAATAGTTCAATTTATGCATACATAAAGAACCTGTTTTCACTTTGTAATTGCAACTTGGAGGTCTATACTGTCTGTATATAATATGTATCATGTTTCTTTCAATCTGGATCAGTTTATGCAGTGCTTGGCTGCCACCAGAGAATATTTGTATTAGTGCTACCAGCCACCAACAAACCATAAGCATAGTTATCATACATAGTCCAAATGAAGATAATTATTGTGTTATTCAGGATGAGGTGATTACAAGCCTGTTCGCTGTAAATCTGTGGTTTAAAATGTTTTAACAAAACAAAAAAACATTATAAATTACAAATCAGCCAGATAAATGAGTGGGCTTGAGGAAGGTTTATTTGGATTCAAAGATGTGAAAAAAGAAACAGTGCCAGTGTGCATTGCTTATAAGAGTAAGATTGACTTTTCTGACCCTGTTCCTATTTCAGGCAAAATAAAACTTGCTGTAATGGGACTGTACAACTTAGCTGTGTGTGTGAGCTAAGAAAGGTCTACATCTTTCCATTAGGCATTCTGTGGCTGAGCACACTGAGATGGGTCTTGGGAGTAATGTTGTTCATGTGTGTTTAAGAAACACACATAGATTTTGACTTAAGATGAAAAAGATATTGAGAAACACTGTCTTGAGCTTCGGAATTATGAAAATAGTACATGAACTTTGTGGGGGTTTCTGTTCCTGAAATTGTCTTGAGTTGATAATATCTTTGATACGTACGTCAAATGCATTTGCTTGTCCCATTGTATGCAGCTGATTTTCAGGAGCAAGTGTATTTTTAAAAAAAAAAAAAAAAAAAAAGGCTTTTAGTAGTGGAAGTTGCAGTGTCCTTGGACAGGTGTATGTAACAAGTAGCCTGGAGTAGTTGTTGGAAGTGCATGCTTCCTTTTCCCTGTCATTGCTGCTTCACTAACGGGTGTGAAAGGATGTTAAACGGATCATGTAAGTAATAGCCGTCCTACCTCCAACGTTAGTTTTAATGATCATCAGTAGAAGACACGGTGTGCAACTGAGTGGATGGGGAGATAACTGCACAACAGTTTCTGTAGTATGATCCTCTTGATGGAATTTTGAGGCCTATATTAACAGATTTCACCTCTGAAATAATAAGACAAATCATAATCAGCAGCTGAATCATGCTTGGAAGAAGCTATTTTGCCCTATATATATTAAAATTGTTTAATATTTTTATGAATTTTGTTGATAATCTGAGATGCATTCTTCAGGCATATGATTTAACAGCTGAATGTATGTTTACTGGGATACTTGTTCTTAAATTCTTGCTGAGCATTCTAAAATTTCTGCGAGCAGACAACACTGAGTAGGAGGGAAATGATGGTGGTCTTGATCTTGGACTGTGCGGTATGGTTTCTTACAAATGCAGAACTGGCTGATGGAGTGATTGCTTCCTGTTATGGATAATGCTGTTACATGCCCAGTTTAGGGATTTCATTGTCAAAAGGGTGTTAACTAGATAATGATTGTACTCTCCTCTTTGTTTTTGCAGTTAGTGAGACTTCTGAGGCTATTTGGCTCATTGCTAAATAAGAATTACAGGGTGCTGAATGAGTAGAATAAAAAGAAACATCTGTGATTTATAGGATTAAAGAGCTTTTAATATTGGAGTGAAGCTGAACAATCTGCTTTCTAAATAAACTTTTTTCCTAGTTCTTATTTCATGGCTAGTAAGTTACAGTTGCTGTTAAGAACAGCCTGAGAAGCTGTGGTGCGTGCATGTACATAGGGGAAATTGTTGTCTGAATTTAAAGAGCAGTATCCAGTCTTTCTGAACTTGTGGCAGATGAATTTGCTGGTTGAGGTAGGGTGGCTATGACCTCCCCCTTACCCTAAGTAAACTTGAAAACTCTTACGCTTTCAAACTTCTACTGACACACATGGCTCTGATACTTAATTAGGAACATTGTAAGTTCAACAGGTAACCTGTTATTTCTGCAAGTATGAAAGGCAGCTTAAATAAGTTTGTATTTTAAGATATGTTTGAAACTTCATAGAAAAATGTTTGAGGCAGAGCTTGGGAGTTGCTTTCTACATCACTTGATCAGTGGCATAAGTTAGGATTTCTGTAGTATCCAGGTATTACAAACTCCAGAAGTATGAACAGAATTACCCCTGAAGTAGTATAGAGTGTCTCCATTTAAACTTAATTTAAATTAAATGGAATCACTGAATTGCAGCCCTTGCAGACACTTACTTGTGAATGGAATTTACTTTTGAATTTTGTAATATATCATTATTTTTAACAGGATGATGAGTCCTTTAACTTGCGTAACAGCAACAGCCCTCATCATGAGAGAGATATAAACCGAAACTTTGAAAATGAAATTCCGCAGGAGAATGGCAATGCTTCAATTACATCTCAACAAGTCATTCGATCTTCAGCTTTCCCTCGGGCAGATGTTCTTTCAAGCTCACTGGAGGCAGAGCATAGGTATGTACTTTATATAATACAAAGAGTGTTCCTTCATGGTAAGTGAGCATGTCATAAATTCTTACTGTTTCAGAAGTCAGAATCTGAAAACTGAGAACACATAAAATGTTTAATGAGTACTGTCAAAGTTTAACTTTTAAACATGTACTAATTTAACATGGAATATACTTTGTTTCTGCTAGACTTGTGTATTGACTTAAACTTGCTTTACTAAAAATTTGAAGTATTTCCTTATAAAGAAATAAAGCGAACTGCATAGTGACTTCATCCCTCTGATTTTGGTCTGCATGTCTAGAATGAACAATGCATGTAATTGCTATTTGTATTAATAATACTTTAAATGCTGCATCTTATGTAAAACTCCAGTGAATTTTTCGTCATTGTTAAAGTAATTAATTATTTCTGTAGCTGACTAGTTGACACTGTCATTGGCATCACAAGAAAATGCGCTGGAAAGGGAGAAAGTAACTTAAAGGATTGTAACAATTCTAGTATCTCATAAAAGTAACTGCAGTACCAACTGGCAGAGATGAGAATGATGCTGCTGGGAAATCACAACTCAGTCTAGAATGAGCTTGTCATGAGCTCTGTCAGATTCTTACTGTTTCTGGCAACTACAGAATTGCAGTGATAGGTTTTTTTTGTTTTTTTTTTTTTTGGTGATAGATTATATGTATACATTGGACTGGAGAACTTTCCTTTTTGTAGTACCTGCAGAGGAAACTTTCATGACCTCTTATCCCTCATGAGTACAAAAAATGAAATGAACCCTGCTGTTTCTTTTTTTCTGCCATTGGCTATGGAGACAGAAATCTTTGGCCACTAGAGGCTGCTGCTGCTGCTTTTTTGACTAGAAGATAGGAGTCAAATCTAAGTCTCATTTTTCACTTCAAATAACATTGAATGACCTTCACAGGGTTTCTGGGCAAGTGTTTTTCCTTTGTGGTATCCCAGAGAGTCTGTGTCTCTATACTGTCCCAGCCCTTTGGCTGTGACCTCTGCATACATGTAGACAGGTGTTATGGTAAACCTTTTTGTGGTAAATTGGACTTGAAGTGATCAGCTTAACTTACAGTATACTTGTGCATACCTAGTAACAATATTGGCACATCTTGTACAAAATGTACCTTGGGCTTTCCTTCTGCTGTGGAAGTTTCTGACATGCAGCCATCCTGTTGGAGTCAAGTTTACTAATCTGAAGCTTATTTTTTTTATGTAGTTCAAGCTTTTAACCATTCTAGAAGTCTAGTGTTGCTTTGAAGGGGCAGCGGTCCTGCTAACTTCAGACAATGTTGCTTAAAAGCTAATTAACCATTCTGCTAAATTTTATTTACATTAACAGGAGCTCTGTAACTATTCACTTTATTGTACATACTACTGTTAACATCTTAGCTTGCTTGCAGTAAAACTTTCTAACTCAAATTACTGTTGCCAAAAGTATAACTATCATTAAACTGCATTTGGCATTGTGAGTCTTTTTCTGTATGTCTATACAAATGCACACATTCTCTTAAAAGAGAGTTTTGGATGACTTGTGTATTATTTCTGCTGCTTACTGAGGATTTAATTGTTCCTGGCTGTCTTATCATCCAGTTTGGCCCAAATACTACAGAGGATGTAACTTCCATTTCTGTTACTGTCCTGTAAACTTTTCTGAACAGAGTAGAGCTGTTCTCCCCTTCTTCTGCAATTTCAGGCTTTTATTGTGGTTTTAACAACAGTCAGTGGTGTCACTGGTCATCTGCAAGCTTGCCCAATGCACATCCATTGTATTGGGACCTAGAGTTCTTTGTGGGGAGAGTTATGTTGAAGGGCATTTTTTGATGCCATCTGGCTAAATGAAGTACCTGGCACATGACATTAACTGTGAGTTCATCTTACTTCCCAGTTTTAATGTATTCACCATTCTTCAGCTCTAAGGGTCAGTCTGTTGTGTCAGTTCTGGCACATAATTTAGAAACCTCTTTATTTTTTGTGAAATAGCTTTAACCTCCTTTAACATTTGAAGTCAATAGGTGCATGGTTTGCCTGAAGAAGGTGCTAATCCTTTTGGCAAAAACTGTGCAGCAAGAGAACTTACTATCTTTGTTGTTAAATGTCACAGTGTCTTCACCCTCAGATAAGCCCTGTTTACACAGCGTCTTCACATGTAAAACCACTTGTATTCCTCCTCAGATATTGCTGTCCCACTTTTGGCACTGTCGTGGTTTAACCCCAGCCAGCAACTAAGCACCACGCAGCCGCTCACTCGCCCCCCCCCCCCCCCCCCCCTCACGGGGGGGGGG